AAAAAGCCGTTTATTAATTATTCCATCAGGCATATTTAACCGAGTAGAGTCAATAAACACAAAGAACGAGTGGTGGATATTTATGTCTTTCGCTTCTATGATTTCTAGGGGACAGATTAGAATGAATTTTTCATGGATAACGTCAGACGTTTCCAGGATGATGTGCAATGTTCAACATCGCTGGAGATGGGACGACGAAAGCTGCCTTCCATACCAACTCAACGAGCAGAGAAGGTCAGCGAAACACCTCCCGCTCCCGTCTACCTCACTTCAAGCGCTCCCACTGTTATATCGTCTTCGCCAGATCGACAGTACCATCCATATCATCAGCAGTATCAAACTTCTCAGGATCAACGTGCCTACTCGCGACCTGTTACGCCTCGTGTTGTTCCTGTACCCGACCTGACTCAGCAGCCATCTCCTTCGTCAGCGTACCGGACGACCGTCGATCCTGCCATCCTTCCTGGTGCAACTATCATTCATGCGAAGTCGAACCTGCCTGTACGACAAACTACTTCGGCTGCAACTGGCGGCCGAGCCTCCGCGGTGCTTACGCAACCAGTGGGCGCGAAAATGCCTAGTCCACTGGCACGGGTTTTGCTCAAAAAAGAACTCAAGGAAGTTCTTGAGAGGCGCCGCGAATCGCTGGAAGCCTGTGAAATCGAAGCAAATCAGCGGCAGTATACTGTTCATCGAATGTTGATTACCGGACTGTTACCGGAATACCGTCCGGCTGATATTGACAACATCCCGAATGTGATACCCTGCTTACTGCCAATCGAGTTGATCAGTGGTGCCCGCATTGTACCTCCGGGTGACTTGTCATCGAACGCAACAACCGCAACGACTGCCACTACCCCGGTACAAGAACGGTTGCTTCCCCCTCCACGTCCTGCATCGGTGCAAAGCGAAACCCAAGAAGTAGGCGTCTCAACAGACGATTTTTGTCCGGAACCGAAACTGAAATCAGTTGGGACACAGTCGGAAACTTCTGTAGCTACTTCTGCTTCTACGACAACCACTACTATTACTGCTACTCCGTACACTGCCATAATAACTCCAAGCTCAATGTATCAAAGTTCCAGTGTTGCTTCCACGTCACTGAGGCGACAGATTGAACATGGTCGTTTCGGACCCTCATCAGCTGCGCTTCCTCGCTTGCGCACTGCAGAAACGCAAACAAACGGCGTCGCATCCTACGAGAGTCAGTATAATGGAAAACTGTCCAGTGGACGTCGCCACAAAAGCTCCACAAGCGGCACTGCGAGCAGCAGTAACCAGTTTTCGGCTTCGGAACCAAATTTGCTGGAATCGACCGCAAAGTATTTTGCTGAATATGATCGACAGTTACGCGAGCATGGACGGCGGATGAAGAATCGTTTCGCATTCACAGACGATGATTCAACGTTACGGGAATCCCGAAAGCAGCGAATTATGGATGAGCTGGCGCAACGGAGGGAGAAGATCTCTTCGCTAGTTGACCTGCGTTCGCCTCCAAATTTCTTGACCATTCATCCAACGTCAGACTACTCTTCGACTGTTCCACATTACGGGTCGTTACCTCGGATCGATTTTCCCACCACGCGTTCACCACGTTTGCGCTTGCGTGATTACACAAGTCGTGGACGCAGTCGTCGCAACTCCCCTTCGTTTGGTGGTTATGGTTACGGGTCGCTCCCGCGAAATTATGAGCGTTTCATAGAGCGTGACTATGTTGATGCTCAAGATGATTTGTTGCGACCACTGCCTAATTCGGGGAGATGTTATGACGCTTTATCCAGATCCTGGCAAGATCTTAACCAGCCTCTTGAGAATGCTTTCGTGGATCCACAGATGAGGTTGTATTCATCACGTGCTACGAATTACTTGAACCCTCAGTCGCTTTATCCACGTTATCAGGGAGCAGGTGCGTCATTTGGGCGTCCAGTGATGAAAACTGTTTATGATGATTTATATACGCCACCTCCAGCACCTCCACCTCCGCCGGATTACGTGAATACGGCCCCTTCACGTGCGCAGCAACATTTTGAAGGTCATCAGAGCTTGTCGAACGCTGATATTATTTCGCAGTATGCAAATTATTTGAGCAACCAGTTCATCAGTGATCAGCAAAAACTGATGAATGGCTACTACCCAGCGAACGAGCCTGTTTGTGGAAATCAAACAGATCAGCACTCCTACTCTGCTACTCGTTACGGCGCACCCAATGCTGGCATGCAGTCAGCAGCGCAACCTCCTGTCTTAATGGATTATCATGACACGATTTCGCCACAAATAGAGGTTGCACAGCAGTTGAATGAGCAGCAAATGCAAGGATTAAACCGAAGAATTTTGGATTCATGTGCATATGGGCCACTGCCACCACCCGTTCGATACGCTCAAGCTAGACAGTATGACAGTTGGCCCTTGTATCAGCAACAGCCCACTTGTTATAATACAGCTGCAAATGTCGCAGCTCCGGCGTATCGTTATTCCGGTCACCAGTCAAGGCTAGCTTCCACATTGCCAAACGTCATATCTCTTCCTGGCCAGGTTTATAGTCGAAATGACACCAATTACGGTTCACGACCAACTCATTACGCTACGGAGTATGGGAATTATTATCGGAACCGTGTAGCTCGGCAGCTGGAAGATGTTTCCGGTCAGAACTATGTGACACCGAATCAGCTTCCGTATGCTACGCATTATCAAAGCAGTCCTTTCATTGCAAGCGGAGATGGGTCGCGTTCTGTAATTCAACCGTCTGTATTTATGGATGTTGTTGATCCCTGGTTTAATCAGCCATACACATCTCGAGCTTGGTCCAGTGGAAATCTGCCTACAAACACCTATGATGCAGTATATCCAAAAGAAGATGTCCTGAGTCGCATGTATTCAGCGTTGGGCAACAGTCGCACTGCCGCGCGGATGACCCCCCAATATGGTAATATTTCAAGTTCTTTACAGTATCTATAAGTAAATAACTACCCTTCAGCACAGCACCTTCAACCAAAACTAGCAC